CCAGGCACCTTTGACTCATCAGTATATAATTTTTGTTCTGAAATTTCAGAACCAAAAAAAGTGCATTTTTACTATTAATATTACCATTGCTTACTTTGCTTTTTAGTCATAATAGGAAACATATGTAAATTTCTAAATACATTAAGGACAGCTTAAGAATTTTTGTTGACGTCATTTATTAAAAGGGAAGTAAGCAGGTGCCTGTAGACCTAGCTACTCAGGAGACTGAGGTAGGAGGATCGATTGAGCCCAGGAGTTTGACAACAATCTGGGCAATAGAAAGAAATTAATTGGCCAACTAATATATATAGAAAAAATTAGCTGGGCATGGTGGTGCATGTCTGTAGTCCCAGCTACTCGGGAGGCTGAGGCAGGAGGATTGCTTGAGCCCAGGAGTTTGAGGTTGCTGTGAGTTAGGCTGATGCCACGGCACTCACTCTAGCCTGGGCAACAAAGTGAGACTCTGTCTCAAAAAAAATAAAAAAAAGAATAAGCCTGCGGCTCTAGGCTATTTAGTTAGGTATTGTTTTTTCTCATTGGTGAGCTGTGACAATCAGGAAGCGTGCATGTAAGCACGTATGTGAGAGTGAGCACAGCCGTGTGTGTGTGTGAGCACAGCCGTGTGTGTGTGAGCACAGCCGTGTGTGTGTGAGCATAGCCGTGTGTGGGAGCACAGCCGTGTGTGTGTCTGTGTGTGTGTTAACATGAGCACAGCGTAGTGTGTGAGCGCGGGAGGGTGTGCACGTGGCGTGGTTCCTGAGGTGGAGGGAGGCTTGATCAGGGCATAGAGGGCTTGGATTCTGTTCCCGTTCTGGGCGATGTGAGCTTGAGTCGCCTCAGCTCTCCCAGTTTCCTCAGCTGTGGATGGGAACTATGAGAGCTGACTACACTACCTACAGACCTACACTACCTACAGACCGATCACACATATGAAAATCTCCAGAAACGAAAATGCTGCAGATGCGAATGAATTCTTAATATATATTGCATGTCTACTTTTTTGGTTTTGTTTATATCAAGTTGTACAAATGCTTTTTAATATTATTTGTATGTAGATTTGTATGTAGATTTAAAAATTAAACTTTTTCTTTTAGAATAATTATAAGTTTATAGCAAAGTTGGAAAGATAGTGCAGAGAATTCCCACATTCCTCGTACCCATTTCCCTGATGTCAATGTCCTACATCACTGTAGCATGTTTGTGACAACCATGGGACCAACACTGGTGCATTATTATTCTCACATCTCCACTTTATTTGGATGTCACTAGTTTTTCCCTCATGTCCTTTTTCTATCCCAGGATCCCATCCAACATTCCGCATCACATTTGTCATGCCTCCTGGTCTGTGACAGTTTCTTGGACGTTCCTTGTTTTTGATGACTGCCTTAGTTTGTTAGGGCTGCTGTAACAGCACCACAGCCTGGGTGGCTTATAACAACAGAAATTCATTTCTCACAGCTCGAGAAGTTGGAAGTCTGTGATCAGGGTGCCAGTGAGGTCAGGTGCCAGGGAGGCCCCCTTCTGAGTGACAGACGGCTGACTTCCGGTTGTGTCCGTGTATGGTAAACAGAGGAGGAGAGAGCGCTTTGGGTTCCCTTTTCCCCTCATGACCTAATTACCCCCAGAGACCCCACCTCCTGATAACCATGACATTGTGGGTTAGGGCTTCGACATGGGAATTTGGGAGGGTTTGGGGTGGGGGAAGGCACAGATTCAGTGCATTGAAATGACTTGGACAGTTTTGAGAAGTGCGGTTCAGTGATTTTGTCTTTTGTTTAGGTTTGATGTTTTTCCCATGGTTAGGGTTACAGGTTTTTAGGAGGAAGATCACTGGGCCCAATTTGGATTCTTTTTTGTTTTGTTTTATTTTTTAATTAGTGATAGGTTCTCACTCTGTCGCCCAGGCTGGAGCGCAGTGGCTCTTCACAGGTATGATCATAGCACATGGAGCTCCCGGGCTCAGCGATGCTCCTGCCTCAGCCTCTCAGCTAGCTGGAACAGCACCTTTCCCAGCTCCCGAGTTTGGATTCTAATCCATCCTACTACAGAACAAACCTGATTCTAGGGCTAGGGCAGGGAAAATACAGGATGAGCCTGGAGTTTCTTATAGTGCCAGAAAGTAAGGATGTGTCCAAAAAACAGTGACAGGAACGTGAAACATGGACATAGGAGCCAACTGAGAGCACACCCCTTGGACCAAACTGGGACAGTCTGAGCAACAAGCGAAATGATACTATTAATGTATTTTTAATAATTAGTATTATTTAGATGTAATCAAAAGTATAAAATAGCTACAGGTTCGTATTGATATAAACGATCAAACAAATAAATGACGGAAGAGGCAGAGATGGACAGATCTCCCTTACAAAGGAATTCCGATCACTGCATGCACGCCCCTCTGCTGGCGTCCGGTGTCACTCTCTCCCCTTGAGTGTGGGCTGCACATAGTGACTTGCTTCCTAAGGGTGTGGAAGGGGATGCGTTCGTGCAGGGGAGACCTTACAGCGGAGAAACCCGCAAACACTACCTGAGCCCAGTGACCCCGGCTTCCCTCTCCAGCTGTGAGCCGCACTGGCAGCCCGCTCCCTCCGTGTGACGTGGCGAGAATGGCGCAGGTGTGTTTTCACAGTCATGTGGTGTGATTTGGGTTGTGCCGCTCACTCTCCCTTTCCGTCTCTCGGAAGGATCTGTTCATACTTGTAAATGAAATTATTTTTCCATAATCACCCTATTTCTAAATAAAACGCTTAGCTACCTGGTAAGTTTTTGGTTTTTTTTTTTTGGAGACAGAGTCTCACTCTGTTGCCTGGGCTAGCGTGCCGTGGCGTCAGCCTAGCTCACAGCAACCTCAAACTCCTGGGCTCAAGCAATCCTCCTGTCTCAGCCTCCCGAGTAGCTGGGACTACAGGCATGCGCCACCATGCCCGGCTAATTTTTTCTATATATTTTTAGTTGGCCAATTAATTTCTTTCTGTTTTTAGTAGAGCCGGGCTCTCACTCTTGCTCAGGCTGGTCTCGAACTCCTGAGCTCAAACGATCGACCCGCCTTTGCCTCCCAGAGTGCTAGGATTATAGGCATAAGCCACCATGCCCGGCCAGTTTCGGTTCTTGACTTCCCGCTTCACATGCTTGGGATCTTTCTTTACTCTTCCTCACCTGTGCATCCTCTGCATCTCCACAACCTCCCAGTGTAATTGTATTTTAATTGTGGTTACATCTGTCTTTACTGTTTGTCTTTATGACTCTGTGTTATAGCTGAGTCATATAATAGACTGATTACTTTTCCTAGTCAACCTTTTGTTTTCTTTGGCGATAATATCATAGAGTTGGCACAAATGCACAGCACGGATTTGCTACAGTGGAGCTGGAGAGCCATGTGTTAAATAAATACATAATAATTAGAATAATAACGTGCTGTCAGAGGAATTGCTTTTGTTCCTTTGTTTTCTGGGCTGTTAGTGGATGGATTTCTGCTTTTTTTGAGAATGAGTCTCACTCTGTTGCCCAGGCTAGAGTGAGTGCCGTGGCGTCAGCCTAGCTCACAGCAACCTCAAACTCCTGGGCTCAAGCAATCCTTCTGCCTCAGCCTCCTGAGTAGCTGGGACTACAGGCATGCGCCACCATGCCCGGCTAATTTTTTTAATGTATATTAGTTGGCCAATTAATTTCTTTCTATTTATAGTAGAGACAGGGTCTCGCCCTTGCTCAGGCTGGTTTTGAACTCCTGACCTCGAGCAATCCGCCCACCTTGGCCTCCCAGAGTGCTAGGATTACAGGCGTGAGCCACTGAGCCTGGCCAGTGGATGGATTTCTGAATAGTTCTACAGACAACTTCTAAATTTGAGAAGAAATTTAGTTTTTGTATTTATGCAAAAAAATCATTCTTCCAGTGTGAAATTGGTGATAGAGAGACTAAAGTGACCCTGTTCTCAAGTGCTTATAGCTCTCACTCCTGAGTCCTGGAACATGTGGCTGTATCTGCTGCTCTGGCCTTTCCCCCGTCCATCCGTGCACCGGGTGGACTGTCTGGGCCAGGAGCTGCCCTGGGTGCCGTGGATTCAGTGGAGTCCCACAAGATAAAGTCCCCGCCCTTCTAATTGAGTTGATATTCAAGGGCGTGTGTGACACTTTGTGAAACCTGAGAGTTCAGATTGTGGCAGTGCTGTGCAGGACTCACTCTGATGGGTAACTCAGCCTCTGTCCCCAGCTGAAGCCTGCCTTGATTGTCACTGCTCGTGACTTTCTGTTTTTTAAACTTACCGATGGGATTTGAGACGTGCATAAAGTCAGAGAGGTTAGCAAAGGGAGCAGTGCGCAGAGTCAGCAGTTACCTGGCATGACAGCCGGTCCTATTTTGTGTGTCTCTTTCCCCTCCTCTTCCTTCTCACTGTGGTGTTCCAAAGTCAGTCCAAGACGTGGCATCCTGTCCTCCCGGGCTTCTCATGGCCCTACTCTTCTGAGAGCCCACCCAGTGGCCATCCTGCTCTGTCCCTGGCACCTGTGTCTTCTGGGTTTGCTCTCCCTGCCACTCTTAGTGTTCCGGGTTCTTTGGCGGGTTTTTCTTCTTCTAGTTGTATGATCACTTCTCAAGGCTTTGTCTGGTTAAGTGTGTTTTCAAGAATTTAGAGTTCCTCTTGCATTTAGTTAAGACAAAAAAAGCTGGCAAACAATCAGAGAAAATTTTGTTTACTGAGGCTCTGTGTTTTGGAAATGCCATTTGGATGTTTTGCTGCTTTTAATCATTGGCATTAATTTCAGTTGCTGTCATTCTATCCATAAAAGAGAATTCAGACATAAAACAGAAAAGTAGTTAAATGGGAAAACAGAAATAGTACTACAGAATATGGTATTTCAAGATCATAAATTATAAATGCACGTATTAATTATTTACCTGTACAATGCTCACTTTAAAGTTTTCACAAATGTTTAGCTTATTAAAGATATAACAGAAAGGAAACTTGTCATGAGATGTCTAATTTCTTTTTCCTTTTCCATTCTAGAATGTATGACAACATGTCCACAATGGTGTACATAAAGGAAGACAAGTTGGAGAAGCTTACACAGGATGAAATTATTTCCAAGACAAAGCAAGTAATTCAGGGCCTAGAAGCTCTGAAGAATGAACACAATTCCATTTTACAGAGTTTACTGGAGACACTGAAGTGTTTGAAGAAAGATGATGAAAGTAACCTGGTGGAGGAGAAATCAAACATGATCCGAAAGTCCCTGGAAATGTTGGAGCTTGGCCTGAGTGAGGCACAGGTATGAGTGAAATGACCCAGATGTGAACATGAACTTAATGGTTTGGAAAAATGGAGACTTCATGTGACATATGTAGTTTCATTAAAGTAGAGGGAAGATGCTTATAGAATAATAAAGATCCACTCATATGTGGGTTGTATATGTTATATAAATGACTATTAGGCCGGGCGCGGTGGCTCACGCCTGTAATCCTAGCACTCTGGGAGGTCAAGGTGGGCGGATTGCTCGAGGTCAGGAATTCGAAACCAGCCTGAGCAAGAGCGAGAATCCGTCTCTACTATAAATAGAAAGAAATTAATTGGCCAACTAATATATATAGAAAAAATTAGCTGGGCATGGTGGTGCATGCCTGTAGTCCCAGCTACTCGGGAGGACGAGGTAGTAGGATCGCTTGAGCCCAGGAGTTTGAGGTTGCTGTGAGCTAGGCTGACACCATGGCACTCACTCTAGCCTGGGCAACAAAGTGAAACTCTGTCTCAAAAAAAAAAAAAGACTATTAATTTGAGTATATCTTGACTCTTAAAAAGCAGAGCCAAAATAGAAGTACCCCTGTGTTTCATTTAGGTTGGGATTTGATTGGCCACCTAAACAAAAAACAAGAAAACAAAAACAGTGGCTTAAGTAGCACAGAGGTACGTAAGACAGGTACCAAGGTGTGCTGTCCTGGATGGCTCTGTGGCCGCCTGGTTGTTGGGGATACTCGGGCTCCTGTCATCCACTGCACCACACCCTGGCAGCCTTTCTTGGGAACTAAGAGGGAGCTCCAGCTGCAGCCACATGACCCTGTTAGAGGACGGGGAAGGATACAGGAAGGGCGTGCCCCCTCCCTTTAAGGCTACTTCCCTGAAGTTGTGCACAGCACTGCTCACATTTCACTGGCCAGAATTCCCTCCGTGGCTGCACCTGGGCGTGAGGTAGCTGGGGAATGTTGTCTTCCCATTTCCGGTTCCAGGTTCTGAAGCCCAAGGAGGACGGGAGCACGTACCCTAGGGCCAGGTTGCTTCAGGTCTTGGACTAAACCTGTGTTTCTGTTGTGCCTGATACAGAGATGAAAACACTGAAAACATCTAGGTTTTTTCCCTCCCTGGTAACTTCTGGCTCTGCCAATATATCTTAGATAAAATTAAGTATGCTAAAACTTGCCTTCTGTCTGAGCTTTCCCCGGTCTAGTGACTGAGTCGAGCAGAAGAGGGGCCGCTGGGTACCAGTTTCTGCTTTCATATAGGAAGTGGCCATCCATATCCTGAGTTTAGAGTTCTTCACCATGTTGCAGACTCTAGTTAAAGAACCGCAGCTTTGTTTGGATATTGTGAACCTATTATTTCTTAAGTTCTGAAGTTCTGTTATTTAAAGATGGTATGAATTTGAACTTTCGACTTGCTTTTTTTTTGAGATGGGGTGTTGCTCTGTTGCCCAGGCTGGAGTACCGTGGCGTCATCAGAGCCCACTTCAACCTCAAACTCCTGGGCCGAAGTGATCCTCCCACCTCAGCCTCCTGAGTAGCAGGGACTACAGGCTCACATCGTAACACCTAGCTAATTTTTACATTTTTTGTAGAGATGGAGTCTCACTATGTTGTCCAGGCTGTTCTTTTTTTTCTTTTTTTTTTTTTTTTGAGACAGAGTCTCGCTTTGTTGCCCAGCCTAGAGTGAGTGCCGTGGCGTCAGCCTAGCTCACAGCAGCCTCAAACTCTGGGGCTCAAGCGATCCTCCTGCCTCAGCCTCCCCAGTAGCTGGGACTATAGGCATGTACCACCATGCCCAGCTAATTTTTTCTATATATATTAGTTGGCCAATTAATTTCTTTCTATTTATAGTAGAGATGGGATCTCGGTCTTACTCAGGCTGGTTTCGAACTCCTGACCTCGAGCAATCCGCCCGCCTCAGCCTCCCAGAGGCTGTTCTTGAACTCCTGGCCTCAAGCAGTTTGCCCACTTGGGTTTCCCAAAGTGCTAGAATGGTAGGCCTGAGCTAGCACACCCTGCCTAAATTTGCTTTTTTAAATTTGGCAGATATTTGGTTTAAAAAAAGAAGGAAGAAAAGGCCCTACCTTTTGGAGTTTGAAGTTTTAAACCTAGGAGGATGATAACATGATTATTAAATTAGGAATGAAAGGGAAGGGCAGATACGTGACCTGAAATGAGAAAAGACTAAAGCCTCCCAGCTCCCTCCTGGCCTCGGCACTCATGCTCCTAGGCACTAACGGACGCAGGCAGGTCCAGGAAACTGACGGCTCACCACAGGCTGAGTCCCAGAGCATTTTGTAATGAAACATGCTGGTAGCTGCAGAGATTTCTTCCCTTACCTTGGAGCATGGGGAAGATTTGTCTGCCTACCCCTCCTCGAGTCCAGCGGTAGCCCCTTGCTGACCTGCAGTTCATGCACACATGCACGTGGCTCACGCAGCCTCCCACGTGGAACGGGGCTGTGAGACATTAGGCGGGGCCATCTCCGTAGAAAGTAAAATCAGAAGAGCAGCTATGAGCTCATTGCTAGTCCCTCTGAGATGCTCTCAAATCAAAAAAGAGAGGTATGTTATCTGTAGATGTGAAGCATATGATATTCTTTACCACACCCCGGTATGTAGTCTGTGGCTAAAGGGAAAAGAGAAATAAATGGCAGATTAACTCATGGGCACTTTGGAGAACGTGCCTGTGAGTGTGAGCTAGAGCTGCGGCCACAGAGCGCGCAGAGGGGAGGGACTGTTGCTGGACAGCACACTACCGTTCTGTACGCTCTCTGCTCAGGTTATGATGGCTTTGTCAAATCACCTGAATGCCGTGGAGTCCGAGAAGCAGAAGTTGCGTGCGCAGGTGCGCCGCCTGTGCCAGGAGAACCAGTGGCTGCGGGATGAACTGGCCAACACACAGCAGAAACTACAGAAGAGCGAGCAGTCTGTGGCTCAGCTGGAGGAAGAAAAGAAGCATTTGGAATTTATGAATCAGCTCAAAAAATACGATGACGACATTTCCCCATCTGTGAGTGGCTCTGTAGCGAGTGTGGTGCTGACATTTGCCACGCTGCGGCCAGCAGAGCACGGCAGCAGAGCTGCCAGGGTTTTCCTGTCTTCTCTGGTGATTGCATTTGGCAGGGCCAAGGCTGGTGGGTCTCTGGGCAAGTGCGTAGTCTTTTTATACGTGTTTTAGAATAACGGTCAGAAAATGTAAAAATGCTTTGTGAACATAAGGCACAATGAATGCCAACATTCAGCGAGGTCTGGCCTAGCTTGAGAACTTCCCTACCCCTCTGCAGTTTGTTTCTGTACTTTCCGCTGCCGGGTCAGCAGTGGCTGAACCCACCCGTCTGTGACCCAGACTCTGGTTCTGCAGCTTACAGAGCCTCTCTTTGAAACTCTTCCTCCCAGGCCCCAGTACACTACTACCTGGCTCTCTGGCTACCTCTCTCATGCCTCCTGTCGGCCTCCCTTGCCCACCTATCTTTCTATCTTTCTGTTTCTGCAGTGGTAGGGTTCCCCAAGGATGCATCTTGGTTTTTTGTTTTTTTTTTTTTTTTTTTGAGATAGAGTCTCGCTCAGTGCCCTTGGCTACACTGCAGTGATGTCATCATAGCTCACTACAACCTCAAACTCCTGGGCTCAAGCAATCCTCCTGCCTCAGGTTCCCAAGTAGCAGGGACTATAGGAGCACACCACCACACCTGGTTAATTTTTCTATTTTTAGTAGAGACAGGTTCTTGCTCTTGCAGAGGCTGGTCTCAAATTCCTGACCTCAAGCGATCCTCCTACCTCTGACTCCCACAGTGCTAGGATTATAGGTGTGAGCCACCACACCTGGCTGGCGGTTCTGCTACGCAGCATGAGCCGCTGCACTGACCTCTCGTTTGAGCCATCACGTCTGATGGATCACCCACCGTAATTTTTGATCCTAAATCAATTGCATGCACTTTCAGAAATTTTTTCTGAAGAATTCATATCTGTTTCTGTCTTAAATCTGGTTAATTTATATACAGATCTGTTTTGGGTGGCTTTTTGGCTTCCAAGGAAATAAAAAAAAAAAATTAAGACCCTGTTGATACTGTTGATTTGTTAATTTTAGTATGTGTTACGTGTGTGATCGACAGTACATTGAATCACTTTTTCCCTTTAACTGGTTACGTTCTATGGAGAGTGCTTATTCTAAGTAGTGAGGTATAAGTGAATTGTGATGTGTCAATGTACCTTATTTTGTTTTCTTCTACTGTTCTTAGTCGTGCCCTCTGTGTTGGCAGGTGGCGCCACTTGAATAACCTCGCGGTCCTCTACGGAAGCGAGGGAAGTACAAGGAAGCCGAGCCCTTGTGCAAACGGGCCCTGGAGATCCGAGAAAAGGTACTGGAGCACGGAGGGTTCTCCTTCTCTGACATCGGTTTTCTGTGGTTTTAAAAAAATTTCAGTTTTAGGTTTTGAGAAATGACCACTGTGATGTGTTATACTGATCATTTATTGAAATAACTCATTTAATAGGGCAGACGCCCACAAAACAGGCCAGACTGGCCCATACAGGTCCGTGTGCAAGACCCAGTTATGAGGAGTGTGTGTTCTGACAGGGGCAGTCCTGAGGCCATGCTCTCCCAGCCTGTGTGGCCTGGAAATGACTCTCATCGAAGAACGTCTAAGGACTAGAGGTGGAAAGCCTGGGCATTACATTTGTGGGTTTTTTTTTTTTGGTTTTTTTTGAAATATGTCTCACTCTGTTGTCTGGCTAGAGTGCCATGGCATCAGCCTAGCTCACAGCAACCTCAACTCCTGGGCTCAAGTGATCCTCCTGCCCTCCTGCCTCAAGCCCT